ATTCTCCATGTATCTTGAACGAAATGAAAATCTTGTACACTTAGACAACCAATTTCAATATATGTATAAAATCAATTAAAATGAATACCATGAACAYGAAATAWTAAARAAATCATAAAAATCTCATGAACAATTAGATGTATCTTTTAAGATTTGTAACTTCCAATTAATTATTGGGGGTTACAAAAAGGTTGAATTACCAAATTACCCTTATCATTAATTTATAATTTAGATTTGAACCTAAAGTGAAGAAAGAATGTGATTGGTCAAGATCGGTTTCCATAGTTTATACCATGTGGTTGGTTTCTATTTGAACCAACCTCTATATATATATATATATATATATATAGGGTTGGGTTCTGGTGAGAAACGTAAGATGGGATCTTATCTCCACCCTTGGATCAATCTTATTGAAGATCAACACTAATGAGATACATCTAGACACACCAGATCAATTCCATTATAAAGCGTGATTCATAGGTAGATATGAGATTAAAAGTAATCAATGATGGAGATCCTTGTTACGCTTCTCACGCCAACTTTATTTCTCACACGATCATTTTTTTTTCTCTCTCTCTCTCTCTTTCAGTGAGAACGAAAGTAATGTAAGAAGGGTGAGAAAAGATTTTCACCGTTGGATCAATTTTAACTGAAGATAAACACTAATGCGATGTACCGGGATGTACCAGATCATTTCATGTAATAAGGGCAATTCATGGGGTGTAGGGTAAGCTTAAAGTGATCAATGGTCTAGATCTCTTTTTACGTTTTTCATCTTAACTTTTATTCTTACACGATCATTCGTATTTCTCTTTATATATATACACACACACACAAAAATAGGCATTTTGGTCGGTTAAACCGTCAAATGAAGTGGTTCACTCTGCAGACAGGACCAAACTGCACTGTTTGGGTGTTTTTTTTTACACACCCGTCAGTCTCTGGCAAAACCAAAACCGAGAGTAGTAGAACATCTGTAGCTGAAACACATACCCTTGAAAATGTTTGTTAGAAAAGAAGTTAACGTACAGAATTCCAAGAATGCCACAATTTAATTGGTTTGGATCATTTTTGTTCAATTCGTTGATTCTTGTCCCGATTCAGAAACGAAAAACAAAAAGAAAGGCTAATGTTAGAAATGAGTAAAAAGAAGAAAAAGAAATGGTTATTGGGAAAGAAAGAAAAGCATAAAGCAGAGAAGAAGAGTGGTTCCATGGATATAAGAGCTTGGAATTCTAAAGTTGAGAGCATAAAGCAGAGTCTTGGTATATATTTCTGAAGATGTTTCTATTCTCTTAACTTTTTCTTTATCTGGCTTTCTTGCATCTGTAGCAATCTCCATTTGCTTTCAAAAATCCATTCAAATTACCTCATACTCTTTATCAACAACCTCTTGCTCGTAACTCTCGATCTGTACAACAAATTAAAAACAGGTTCAAAAATGTCTAATAGACCACTTTATATGATCAAATAATAAAACCTCCTATTTAAAAGTGGTGTAATAGTTTTTTATGACCTTTTTTCTGGTGTCGTAACAAATTTTTTTGAACAATTTTATTTAAAAAAGAAGAAGATCGTATTAGCTATTTTACTATTTAAAAGAATGTCTTATAAAAACTATACAATAGCTAAAACAATGCTTTGTATCAAAGAAGTCATTAAAAAAAAAAACTTATTATAACACCTTTAGATAAAGAAATAATATTAATTTTTAGGTGATATTTGTTTTTGTAGTAGTATTAATTAGAAAGAAAAAAATAGGGAACACATTGTATAAAAATTGCAAGAGTGGTGTTCCAACTTACTTTCCATTCAAACCTGTCAAGAGTATCCTAAAGAACACCCCTTCATATATATATATATATATGTATATATATCTTTTTTGCTTCTATATGCTTATGATTGATTGAAGTGAATCTACCTCCCTCTTCTTTAACAACCCTTGATGCTTTTTTTTCCTACCTTTACTTTCATCCAAATCTCATAAAAGATGAAACTCTCCCTTATTTGTAACAGTCCATTTTTCTCATCTTCCTTGACCTATTAATTATGGGGATTGCTACTTACCGGGTGACCATCATTCTTGTTTGCATCGTGTTTCTATCGATCCAATCAGAAAGGGTGTCCGCCATTACAAGCATCGATCTTGCTTTGAGATGGGGAGAAGACACATTGTTTTCAAGAAATGTGCGGGTGTTGAAAGCAGTTGAACAACTGGATAAGGAGTTGAGTATAGCACCCACACCCGCAATGATGTTTGATCCAAATCAATCCAACAAAAGGCGGATTCGAAGAGGATCCGACCCTATTCATAATACAAGATGACAAGTTTCTGAAACAGAACTGAAGGAAGGAACTTTGGTCCAAAGTGATGATGGTTCACAAGTTGTTTTATAGGTTGGTTTGATTTCTATAGTTTTGTTTGATCCAAAAATTCAATCTCTCTTGTTCATTTTGAAACCATACCTAAATACACAGATTGCAGACTGTATTTTTCTTCTTTTAATTAGCTCTCAAAGATTTATAACTTGCCATCTTCCAGCATTTCTCAAAACTCTCTCTCTCTCTCTCTCTCTCTATATATATATATATGTATGTATGTATGTATGTATGTATGTATGTATGTATGTATGTATGTATATATCACATGGGTTGGGTTCTGGTTAGAAAAGAAGTCATGGTTAAAAGTGTAAGAAAAGATCTCCATCATTGAATCATTCTTAATTGAATGTCAACATTAATGAGGTGCACCGAATCAATTCCCTTCTAAAATACAATTCATGAGTAAGCATGAGATTAAAAGTGATCAATGATTCAAATCTCTTAATTATTAGGCTTCTCACCATAACTACACGATAATTCGCCTATATCATATACCCATAATGCTGCAGGTTATGAATCAATGAAACCCCAAATAGATAAGAAAAATAGCTTGCATCTTTTTAAACCTAAATTCAACACTATGGTCTTTTTGGACAATGTATGCTGCTTCAGTTTAAGTCTAGCCTCTATTGAAAGAGGCGTGTTAGCCTCTATTGAATGTGCAATGCACATCTTTTATTAGGTACTAACGTTCTTCATCATCAATCACTGTCTCCTCCCTCTTTAGAAATGCATTATCATTTTAGAATACTATTTTATAGGACTTAATTTTTTAGAATTAAAAAATTAATGTGTCATATCTAAAAGTGTTACAATAAGTATATAAGACGTTTTTGAGCGTCATAATGGATTTTTTTGGACCCTCTTATAATAAAATGTCGTATTAACTATTTTATAGGACACTTTTAAGAAATGTCATATAAATCTATCTTTTCATATGATACTTTTGAGAATTGTCCTATAAACCCATTTTTATGACATTTTCTCAAATAACGTTCTATAAAATAGTTAATACAACACTTTATTTTAAAAGAGTTCAAACGAGATAACTTCTGTTTTACGAATAAATTAGTATTTATCAATAATTTTTGGTTATTTTATATTGTCTTTATCTCTTAAATTTTGTTGACATCGAAAACTTCTTATGTTGATGCCTCGATTAACGATGTCGATGCCTCTATTGGTGACATGGTAATGTTGTGATCATAATACGACAATGAACATACAGAGTAATGATTGTGGACATAATTGGTTTTCAATTTATCATATCATTATCACAATAAAATAATATCATAGAAAATCATCGATTTATCAAAAGTATTACCATACTATTATCACAATAAAATCACATCATTATTGACAACATATATAAATGCTAACAATATTTAATAGATAAAGACATATATAAGATAACCATAAATTGTTGATAAATACTAATTTATTTTTATTTATTCTAACTTTTGTTAGGTTGATTAATTTGGAGGCTCATAAGTGTTCTCACTTTATCATAAAACAAGAATGTTTTCGCTTGAATCCTATACACACACACACACACACACACACATATATATATATATATATATATATGTGTGTGTGTGTGTGTATGTGTGTGTTGGGGGGTTGTTTTGAAAACCCGTGAAATTGTGATATCCTTAAAAACTTGTGCATCATGTGTTATTTCATATGATTTTTTTTCTATCTAAGATTAGAGTTTAGAATATTAATTAGCATATATTTGTTTCACATATACTTGATTCACAATATAAACATTTTTGACGTGTTTGTGAGACAAAATATACGTATAAAGGTTCCACATTGTGAGCCGAACACATATGAAACACATTATAAAGTAAATATATGTCTATCGATACATTAAATGCTATACTTGGACCGAAAAAAACCATGTAAAACAAAACCTTAAGGTAAAAGTTCTTACAGATCTCACAAATTTTAGAGTTCTCAAATGATTAAGCCTCAATATATTTGTAAAGACAAAAAGGATCATGCAAGAAGTAGGGGTGTACAAAAAACCGTCAACCCGCGAAACCCATCCAACCCAACCCACTAACAATCCAATTAAACCCAACCCGCCAAACCGCCAACTCGTCCACCCGCCAAACCGCTAACCCGCCAATTAGGAGGGTTGAAATTAGGCTCAACCCGCCCAACGCTACCAAAATGACCCTCTTTTCCGGCGGACACCGCTGGAAATCCGCCGGAAATTGGGTTTTTCGGCGGATTTGTCCGCCGGAAAAGAGGGCACCGGTGTATCATTTTCCGTCGAGTTTTCCGGCGGATTTCGGCCGCCAAAAATCTTTCGCCGGCTTAATTAAAAAAATTAAGAAATTTTCCGTAGTGTTTTCACGCCGGAAAAAATTAATCAAATAAGATTTTCATATTTTTTTTATTTACCGGCGGACGGATCCACTGGAAATCCGCTGGTGATTTTTTTTAATATTTATTTAAATATTTATATAGTTTTAAAAATTATTAAACAATTTCAATATTACCGGCGGATGTTTCCGCCGGAAATCTGCCGGAAAAAGAATTTTATTATAAAAATTTTATTTTTTGTTTATTTTTAATAAATATTTAAAACCTGTAAAAATATGGATAAAACTAAAAAATTAAAATGCAACCAAATATCATACACTGATTAAAGTACACAATTGTTACAAAACATATACCATTTAAAGTATCACACAATGTTACAAACAAATTAAATTGTTCCAAATAAACAAACGATATTCAATTAGATTGACGTAGTTCGTTAACCAAAGCAGTCATATCATTCATTTGTTTCAGAAGTTGCTCCTCCACAGTCTGTCGACGCTGATTTTATTCTTGTAAATCCAAAACTTGGACCTTTAAGTTTACAATTTTCTATAAAATAAATAAAACGTTATAATATTTAATATGAATTATAAACTAGATCGATAAACATCATCAAAAGAAAAAAAAGACACATACCCGCTTTTCCGAAGACGATGAACCAGCTTTCGTGTAGTTGCCGGTCAAGACACAATTGGGATCTTGGTTGTACTCAAACCCAAATAGACGACCTTTTCTGCTTCCCCCAACCGCTTGCTCCCACAGCTCTTTATCAACTAAGGGATAGGTAAAGGGATCATCGCCGTATCTTTGGCTAAGACCCGTTGAATACTCATCCTATATATGGTTTAAAAAAGATTGCAAGTCAATTTTGACAGCATAACGGCTGTAAATGGGACGTTTCCAGACAAAATAATAGTGATAGATACGAAAATTGTATCCAAAACAATCCTAACGTTTGCCCAACAATTGACAACCCAAATTAAAGCATGATATAACGTAAACAATTTTAATGTTTGCCCAACAAATGGCAACCCAAACTAAAGCATGATATATACGTAATTTCTAACGTAAACAATCTTAATGTMTGCCCAACAAATGGAAACCCAAACTAAAGCATGATATATACGTAATTTCTAACGTAAACAATCTTAATGTTTTGCCAACAAATGACAACCCAAACTAAATAATGAAATATATACGGTCCATTAAAGCAAATACGGTCCGTTAAAGCCCAACACAGTTCATTAAGGCCCAATCCGATCCATTAATGTCCAATACGGTCCATTAATGTCCAATACGATCCATTAAAGTCCAATACGGTCAATTAAAGTCCAATACGGTCAATTAATGTCCAATATGGTCCGTTAAAACCCAATATGGTTCATTAAGGTCCAATACGGTCCGTTAATGTCCAATACGATCCGTTAAAGCCCAATACGGTCCATTAATCCCCAATACGGTCCATTAATGTCCAATACGATCCATTAATGTTTTTTAATTTTTAAAAATGATTTTTCTTTATTTTTATATATTTTTTTTATTATTTCTCCGCCAGAAAAGGTTAGAAGTTTTTTTAATTTCTTAAAAATAAATTTTCTAAACATATTTCTGGCGGATTTATTTTTTTTTTAAAATTATTATTTTTCCGCCGGAAATCATTAAAAGATTTATTTTTTATTTTTTTTAAAAAGATTTTTTAAATTATTTTTAATTTTCTGCCGGAAATCCGTCGGAAAAGGTTAAAAGGTTTTTTTATAATTTTTAAAAATTATTTTTCTAAAAGATTACCGGCGGATTTCCGGCGGAAAATTTAAAAAAATTAAATCCGCCGGAAATGTTTTTATAAAAATCTTTTTTAATTAATTTTAAAAGATTAATTAACCCTTAATGTCCAATACGATCTATTAAAGTCCAATACGGTCAATTAATGTCCAATACGGTCCGTTAAAGCCCAATACAGTTCATTAAGGCCCAATACGGTTAATTAAAGGCCAATACGATCCATTAATGTTTTTTAATTTTTAAAAATGATTTTTCTTTATTTTTTAAATTTTTTTATTATTTCTCCGCCGGAAATCCGCCGGAAAAGGTTAGAAGTTTTTTTAATTTCGTAAAAATAAATTTTTTAAACATATTTCCGGTGGATTTTTTTTTTTTAAATTATTATTTTTCTGCCGAAAATCATTAAAAGATTTACTTTTTATTTTTTTCAAAAATATTTTTTTTTAATTTTCCGCCGGAAATCCGCTGAAAAAGATTAAAAGGCTTTTTTTAATTTTTAAAAATTATTTTTCTAAAAAATTACAGGCGAATTTCCGACGGAAAATTTAAAAAAAATTAAAAAAAATAAATCCGCCGGAAATGTTTTTATAAAAATCTTTTTTAATTTTTTTTCAAAGATTAATTAATTTTAAAAGATTAATTAACCCTTAATTAAGAAATCCGCCGATAATATAACAAGTTTAATTTTTCCGGCGGATTTCCAACAGAAGTCAATAAAAGTTGACTTGAAATAAATCAAAAAATGGATTTTTGTTCAAGAATGAAATCTTGTGGAAGGTGCGGCTGGATCACCTTCTTTTCAGGGAGAGGTAATGTTGCCTACTCACACGAACCCATATCCTTGCTTTTCTATCAATCTCTAATCCTAATCTTCGGAATAGTGCACCTACACGCCTTCATCGACGTTGTTTTTCCCCATAAATTGACCACCCAGGTAAATCGCTAATCGGAAATGCCGGAAATACCCATAAAAGACGCCGGAAATGCCCAGTTTTCTAGTAGTAAACCCACCAACCCGCCGCTAGTATATCATTTTTATAAAATTATATATATATATATATATATATATATATGTTTATTATGTATATATATTATTAATGTGTAAATTTTATATAATTTTTATGGATATTATATTTTATTTTATTTTAGCTAAACATATAGGTTACCAAAAGAGTTTCACGATCAAAAATTGATGACAAATAATCTAATTAATAAGGAAAATTATTGATTTTTTTTTGCAGCAACAACAAATTGATATATTGGAGAATACGAATGATATTGATATATATTTGATGGACGAATCCATCAATCTATGACGCTCTTAAAGAGTTACATTAGAAAAATTATCTAAAAAAGTTACAATATGTTTATAGGATGATTTTGGACGTCTTAACAAATTCTATGATGTTTTTAAAATAAAGTGTCGTATTATACTTTGGTTTTTAGACAAAATCAATAGAATTTTTCGGTTTACATATAAAGTGGTGTTTGCTGTGAGTGATTGATGAAGAATGATTCATCTCCAACAAAGAAGACGACCTATAAATTTGTACACCGGAATTCGCCCAATTAAAATATAATGCTTTTGTTTTTTATTAGTCTTGAAGAAAACATAATTTTAACATCTACAAATCAAATACAAATACGCATTCAGAAATTATAAAAGTTATATGTATATAAGAGAATCATAAAAATGAAGGCTTTAATTAATGGAGTTTGCAGTTTTTGTTGAGTAGATTTGTACAGATTACCAGCCCTCAAATTTCTTGGGTTTAATATATATATATAAAGTGAAATTAATGAATCAATCCTAGCTAGCTAGCTAGATGAAGATGATTGCAGTTAGTAGATGACTCCTCCAACTCCACCTGTCTCCGGTGAAAGTTCCGGTGGCAGCCACAGGCAGCACATGTGAACTCACCAGTCGTACCTTCTTCTCCGGTGGCCATGAACTCCCGGCATCCATCAACAGCATACCCACCGATGTCGGCTGCATGATTCTTCTGGCATTCTCCATACCTAAACGTCTGAATGAGTGAAGCACTTGAAGTTCCATTAGAACCTGCAGCACTAGTCTTTTTCATGGATATGATTGAATCTCTCTCTCTCTCAAAATGTGTTTATGAAGAAATAATAAATGGGTAGCTTTTGGTTAAGTGGGGGTGTGATTAAAATATTTGGTTCATAAGTGGTGGATTAGGTTTGTCGTAATTTTGTATAATTTAATAATGAAAAACTATTAATTATATGTATTAAGCCTTGCAGACAAGTTTTGTATGTTGCCACTTGTTCCAATGATTCAACCACTATACTATACTATATATGGGATGTTTTTTAATTTGTTTCTTTAATTAATTAATTAATTAATTAATTACAATAAGAAATTAATGATATATATATATATATATATATATGAAGGCTTACGCTTACGCTTACTTTGTTGATGTAAGATGGATTTTACAGGAATTGTTTTCATCATTTATGCAAATTGATGGATGAATCGTCACAAAAATACGACTACCTACCTGATTGATGCTTCTAATTTCATGGCTTCTTGTATTGTCTTTTCATTAATGAAAACCAAATTCAAATTATTAATTTTACATATATTTTAAATAAACTATTTCATAATTCATTTAATTGATACATGCAAATATTTTAATTCAAGTTCATACGGAACTAGGATAAAAAATATATATGACAAAATTTTGAGTTTTACACTTCATATGGGCCTCAAGATGTACCCCTCCATCCCAATTAATATTACATTACATGTATTGTATACTAAACTTTATAAATTCAATCCATATTATCAATTATTTAATATAATGTATACCTTTTTTTTTTATTTATAATATTACATGTATTCTGGTTGTCATATTATTTGAATTGTTTTTTTAAAAATTTGCATATTTTTTCAACAGAGAAATTAACAAATGATTGGTTTGTCACCAAATACAAATTAATCTTTTTTCATACGACATCTATAAATCAACCAATAAATGTTGAAATATATATATGTCAAAAAGGATTTTCAAAACATTTTAATTTAATATCGTATTATTATTTTTTTGGCAACCCAAAACAATCAAAATCACATATGAGAAGTTATTTCATAGTTGACTTAGCAGTTAAGGCTAGTAAGATTCGAACTTGAATCTGTTGTGTATTTGAGTACTAACAATAAATTATGATTAAAAAAAGTTCCTATTATTTTCTTACCTGATAAAATGTTTAAGGTGATGTTTGGATTACTGAAGAATGAAAATGACAATGAACGTATGGAAGAAAAGGGATTCCCATACCCCCAAGTTTAACTCAAAATGAAAATTTGAGCTTCTAAAAGAATAAACCCATTATATTATATAAAAGCAAACATTTTTTTTCATTCTCATAAGTTACTGCGTAGTACCTTTATAACCAAGTCCGTATTTTCATTGTTTATGTTTTCTGTTGCAACCTTTACATGACAACAAATTGGAGCAACGAATACGAAAAATTCAAATAACATAGCCATTGTGTTTTTTATTTAGACCGGAAAGACGTTGCACATAACTTAAGTTGTGAGTGAATAGTGATGACAGAAAGAAGATAATAAAACTATACATAAATGTAGCATCTAAGAATTTTAGAAGCAAAATTAAAAAAATACCAAGAGCTCAGACATGTATTCTTGATAAATTCCACAAACCCTGGTAATTGGTATGCATTTCCCTGTAGATATTTTTATAGTTTTAAAGGTAGAGTAAAATTTACTGAGTCAAGTAAATAACAACAAGTATAGGAATGTTGCCATACAAAATTAGATTCCAAGTTATTTTGTAATTTAGACGGTATATATGCAAGCAATAAACATGGAGTAGAAGATATATTGAATCATAGGTGGCAAATTAGAGTTGGTTGTACACCTAACCATACATGGTCAAGTAGCAGTAGCTTATGAAATTAGTAGTATTTGTAAGTAGAGTTGCACTTATGATTTCCCAATTCAATATAACCGATCTCTCGTTCATTCTGGAGAGGAAGAAATACATTTCTTTACAAGCGAAACGGAGTGGCATGGACGTTCCACCCAACTTATTATTATTTCGTGTATGTTAGTAAAACAGACGACAATAATAATTTCATATAATTAAAACAGGCAACAATAACATTTCCAAAGGACCCCATGTTTTTGGTTACATAGCCCATTGTCTGATTGCAGATTTGTACTTGTAACATGCATTCACAAAGCTAAAGGATGCGAATAATATGCACCCACAAAGCCATCGATCAACAAATAAAGAAAGCTTAATTGGACCCTTCAGTTAGCCCAACTAAACCAGGATATTGGGCCATAGAATAAAAAAGAATAGTCGAACAAGTTCATTTTTTATTTAAAATAAAAATTACTAAATAAAAAGAAATATTACCCAGAATAAGAATATACTAAAAGTTATTGTTTAACTTAACTCTATAGTAAATTACAAAATCGTCCTTGTCAGGAATTCGAAATTACAAGAAACATATCATCAAGGATTATGTTTCATCCATGGCCATAACCACCGTTGGAGGTTGTTTTTTGTTTTTTTTTTTTATAAATTAAATTTTTGGTCTATAAATATTCAAATTCAAAAGATAGGCGTTAGTTTTAAAGTTGTACTAAAAGAAAAAAGAGAGAACAAAAACCCACCTCACCTAACATCTTTTATCTACATCTACATATGGTAGATCATGTTCTTTGGCATTACGATTCAATCATATCACTTCTCAAATGGACATGTAAGCTTTCACAGTCTTACTTTGCATGTGTGCTTCATAAAACCAAATTTCTTACTCCCTCAACCTCTTTCCATCTCTCGCGGGAAACAAGAACAAATACATGGATGAAGTATTGACAATTTGTTATCAGTTTTTGATTTCGAGTACTATATATTTGAATTCATGACAAACAAGAGCAGAGAGTAAGCTAGAGGAAAAGAATATAGGTTTAGAGTTAACTTAGGTAGGTGGAGAAGAAGGAGAGGGTGCTCCAAGTTGTAGTCGCCGACGATTCATCAGAGAAGGTTGGTTGCTAGGAATGGGATGAAGATGGGTGTGGTTTTTCTGATAAATATTGTAACATGTTGCACAAATGCTATAAGGACTTGTACATTATTTTTGTAATAGATAAAAGATTAAAATATCCCTCATTAATTGTAGGTCGGTTAGGACCAATAACCATTTTCAAAACCAAATTGAAACATTGCTGATGATACTTGTTTCCTTGGTATAAGGCAAGGACAATATTTGTAATTTAGTCATAATTATAAAACAAAATGATAAATCCTAATATAAAATGACATACCCAACAATGTTCCCGTAAACCAATTACAAAATGATTAGAGTCTGTTATCAAAGTACATCACTCACACATAGCATGCAAACTCTATTCAAGTCAAAGGACTATACGTACAACGACCACATGAGAAACGTCTACGACATTCACATGCCATCCAATCAAATGTTCTCATGGTGAGTCACATCCGGTACGCAATATCTCATAATTGTATCCATATGTGGATTCCATATCTTCATATGAATCCCTACATATATTAGTCGTACCATATTAATTCAACCTAGACCCGAATAAATATTTGATTAGGAACATTTTAGAATACAATATTCTAAGGTTATTTTTAAGTTTAGATATAACATAGAATAATAATTAGGCAATGTCTTTCATTGTCCGAACATGATTATCCGATGATTGGCTTTTAGACATATACACTACCAATGATGGAGTAATGGATTTAGGTATCCACATTGGTAAGAAAATGATAGATTGGAAGAAGGAGGTATGTGAAAGTAGAATAAGATCTCCTTGTGCCAACTCAATTACACTAATTATATATTAAAATTCATTAGTAGTAAATTAGCGAATTATGTTTCATCCTAATTTTGTTATAAATTCCCTAACAAATTTGGACGCTACGTAACGCACAATGTCACATGCTACTGAATATTAATAAACACATCGGTAAATAACTAATTATATAAAGTAATATTTCCAAAAGAAAGTCTAAAATAAAAAGGTGTTGTATTTAGAAGTTAATAATAATAAATTTACCAAAAGAATTGTTAATTTATTTAAAAATTAAGTTAGTGACAAGTTTTAAGCGTGAAAATTAACAAATTAATTCAAAATATTAAATTGAAGTAGTAAATGGTCCATGTCCTCCTTGTCTATTGCATTAATATTTTGAAATTTTGTTGTTTATCATATTTATTTGTCACCCATGACTAAAGATGGTCAAATGGGCCCGGCCCGGCCCGTAGCCAGCCGAGGCCCGTAACCGGAACCGACGAGGGACCGGGACCGGTGGTAACCGGTTGTGAACCGACGGTTATGAACCGGTTTATGATTTTAGCGAATTCTTGGACCGGAACCGGTTATGAAACCGGTTATAAGCCCGGCCCGGCCCGGTCAACGAAAGTCAATTTAGCCATTAAAAGTCAAAGGAGCCGTTAGAAATGGTTAAACTAGCCGTTGGAGCCTCCTTATGACTGTTTTTTTTCATCTTTCTAGCTACCAAAACATGTATAAATAGATATGGGAGTTCCTTAGTTTGTTACCAACTCATCTCATCTTCAAAAACGCAAAAAAC